ATCCTCTTTTATTATCTCCCAGTATGAGTGATAGAACTTCCTAGAGACTCCATCAGGGCCTGGTGCACTTTGAGAGCTCATTGAAAATACCACATCTTTTAATTCCTCCATGGTTGGTACTGCTATAAGTTTTTTATTATCTGCATCATCATGATTTTAGGAATACACACCAGAACTGAGAAGTCACTGTCAAAGTTCTCCCTTGTGAACTGATTCTAAAAGAAAGAGATTGATTCATGAGCAATTTCCTCATCACCCTCAATCCACGTTCCATCTTCCTTTCTCATATTTTTCAAAGTTAACCTCTTATTTCTTCCTTTAACAATACAGTGAAAAAACATAGAATTAACTTCTCCTTCCACAAATTATTTAACCCCTGATTTTTGTTTCCAAAAGGACTCTTTTTTCTTGTAAGCTCTCACCAATAAAGTATTAGCCTAATTTAAGCCAACTCTATTCACCTCAGAATTATCGATAATGATGTTGGTCTCCATCTCTTTTACTTTGTGTTCTAGCTCTTCAATCTTGTCAAAAATATTGCCCACTGTATTTCTAGACCATTCAGACAACTTCTTGTAAGTATTTTTCAACTTCATGTGGAACTTCCACATTGGTGATCCCTACACCTTCATATTCCAATATTTCTCTACCACCATGCTAAAATCTGCTTCTTCGGTCTAGAAATCCAAGAACCTAAGTACTTAATAGGTTCTCTGTGTGTGGTTTTGGCAATGACAAATAGGAGAGAATGATATGACCCAGTCCTGATCAAGTGATTGACACTAGTTGAATCAAACATGTTCAACCGATCTTGATTGATCAAGACCCTATCCAATGTTTTCCATATCTTTTTATTTGAACACCATCCATTGCACTATATGAAGATAGATCTAGAGTAACCTGTATTAATGAGTTCATAATCCATAATACACTGTATAAACGGTAAGCTTTTGGACCATCCGTGAGGCTTACCTCCTTTCTTTTCACCAAAATCCATAATACAATTAAAATTCCCTACAATGAGCCAAAGTAGTCTGTACCTATCTGCAATGTCCCTCAGGCTATCCCACAAAATTTCCCTAAGTACAACATCACGCTTAGTATAAACAAATGAAATCACAATTGTATCTCCATTCCACTTGATTTCAAATGTAATTTGTTACTCACTCTCTTCAATGACCCTGCATTCTAGTGGCTCATCCCAAAAAATCCATATTTGACTATTACTGTTAGCACAAGCATTTGCATATCCTAAAATTCTTTTATATTTGTCCAATTTAGCAACTTTACAAAAAGATTCACATAGAGCTACAAAAGGAAGTTCTTGTAATCTAATCAGTTGCTTAAGTCTCTCAAGAGCACCATTAGAATTGATGCTCCTAATATTCCAATACAGGGACTTAATCATTAAATTATTTGAAAATGTATAGTTCCTGTGAGGTTTTCACAGGTTGATGTGTAGAGTGTCTACCACCCCTTCCTCTTGTTGTTTGTCTGCCACCTCTAGTGTTACCTCTGCCCCTGCCTCTATCCCTAGTAGAAAGATGAGCATTGTTAACGATGGTGTCCAACTCTGATGTCATAACAATATCTACTAATGATTGAGTACAAAATGTATCAACTAGAATGTCTTCATGATCATCACTATTATCTCGAGGAGGATCCATCAGAGTATCAGCTTGATCATCACTGTATATCTCTTCACTGTCATCAATAGCATACTCCTCACTTGCTTCTGAGCTCTCTTCATCAGCATAGTCCATGTCTTCTGAGCTACTCTCTTATTCTTCTGAAGAATCAAATTGTTGTCCATGTTTTAAATTATATACATAATTACTATTTTGCTCCTCTTCCAATTTTGTGCCACTAATAAGCTTCAAATAATTATTTTGGATTTCTCTGCAGTTAATTTCATAGGCTGCTTAACATTTTGTGAGTTGAACACATTTGGCTTCTCCTTTTGGTTTGATGTTTTCCCCACTTCCATTTGTTTTACATTATCATTTTTATCACTGTTTGTGCTCTTATCTTATTTCATGGGATCTGGTTGGTCTTTATCTTCTTCCAGTTCTAACACCCCACTTATCTCATGTTTGGTAACTGGTTTCTTCTTTCTATTTCTCTTCTTTTTCTTGGTATAACCCACAATCTCCTGAGTGGTCGCTCTTACTTTTTCTCCACATTTTTCTTTTCCTTTTCCAGGCACTTCCTCGAGTCGAGTGAGCTGCTGAGTAATGCTAGGTTCTTTAATGGTAATATCGTTAATTTGCTTACTGTTATGGTTGGTTGGTACTTTTTGAACATTACTGCCTCTGTTAACTTCCGTGTTGTATTGTTGGCCTGATGGAATTTTCTGCCTCTTTATTACATCATGTGAGGAATTATTTCGATTCACTCATGTGCCTCGCTGATAGTTTGATGTTACATTCTTTATCTTTGATCCTCTTTTACTCTTGGCAGTTTGAAATTCATCTTCATCTTTGTTCACATTCTCCTCCTTTTTGGTTTGTTCTTACTTTTGTAATTTGATCTTCTCATCCCTGATCTTGTTTCTACATTGACTTTCGAGGTGTCCTTGCATCTTGCAATATAAGCAGTAGCTTGGAACCTTTTCATATTCATTGTCAAGCCATTTTCCATCATCTTATCGGTCAAACCTTTTGTAACCAAGCCATATTTGATCCAATTTTGGTTTCAACAAATCAATTTCAACTTTTACTTTGGCGACATTTCCTCTAGATTTAGAATATGTCGCCTGATCATGAGCAACTACAACTCCCCCCTCTGTTACTAATTTTGAAATAACTTGCTAGTTGAACGAGTGTCATGGTAGCTAGTGGATTAAAATCCAGACTGGAACAATGGGCGTCTCCTCCTCCTGTTTAAAATCTGGAGTCCATTTTAGAATTTTCATTGGGGCCTCTCCAATATCAATGTATTCCTTGAAAAGGACGTGATTGTAATCAACTTTGTCGGAAAATCGATATACACATGTTTAGGATCAAAGTAAGCAATCTTAACTGAACCAGTCAAATGGAATTGCCGGATGAAAACTTTTCTGATTTCCTCCGTTGTAGGTTTCCCTCTATAAAACTTACCTATAATAGTAATTTTGCATTCCTTTGCTAGATTTACAAAGTAATCCTCGACAAAAAAGAAAACCACATATTTACCTAAATAAGTGTCGTGTCGTATTTTGATTGGTGGATTTTCGTTGTTCAGTAATGGCAATTTCGTCTTAACAGTAACAACAATGATGGTTTCGATACACTTTGTTCACCTCTTTTGTTACCCGCAGGGTCTTGTGCTCTGTTTCTCACAGGTGGGCCTCTCCCAAGCTGCATGTTACTCTGTGAAAAATTTTGGGCTAGTAGGTTCTCATTCGGTTGTGTATTGGTAGTTTGAGGGGCTAGCTGGTGTTGACCGATATTGTTCTCCAAGGTTTTGTCAGTCCGTAACGGAGGTCGATCAAAGTTTGAAGAAATTTTTGATTGGGCTTGTAAGTTGTTTAAGGTGGAAGATGTGGGGTGATTTTTGTTCTCATTGGTTGTATTGGTCCTGTTTCTGGTGGTCTCTGTTGCTTTGGTTGAGATGGTGGTTGTTTGGTTTGTCACGGTGGTAGTAGCCGTTTCGGGAAGGTTTGTAGGTGGGGATTGGTGTTATTAGGATTGAGTATGTGAGTTGTCGAAATATTTGGATTGGGTCAGGTGGGTGGGGTAGGTCAGTAGATTATTATTGTTAAACAAACACTAGAAAATGACATACTCATAAAAAATTCAAAAAATATTTTCCTGAAGAATGACTTTCCTGGTAGCAAAATAAACTAATTCCTCATATTTATTCATCAAAGTCATCTTACCTTCCCAATGTATTTATATGCCGCTTAAATGACAAGATTTTATTGAGCAATTTGAATTTAGTGCATATTAAATCATTGTTATAAAATAACATACAAGTCCTTCTTTGTTCATCATCTCTCTTTTTTTTTTCCTTCCATGTGTGCTTCATCTAGCTACCTAAACCGAAATATCACTAATAATACATTCTTGATTAAAGCTCCAAGAGTTGAGGCATAGAAGTGATGATAAATGGGCGAATTGGATTAAATTTGAGTAAGTTATAAAGCTAAAAAGGCAAATAGCAAACTAGATTGAATTTGAGCATGTTATAAATGATAACAAAAATGAATCATAATGCATATGTGAGAAAAAAAATTATTCTATTTTAATTTTAAATAATTGTGTAAGGAATCGTGTATCACCCAAATAAGATACTCCTATAACAACTATTTTGGTCAATAGAAAAACTTGAAAAATAAATTACATCAAAAGAAGCACGTCGCAGTATTTGAAAATTAACCTTTATCAAAACTCTTTCCAATAACAAGAGAAGGTAATTGAGATTCTTTAGGGACGAAGACGTAACATTTTAAAATTCACCTAGTTGTAGCAACAATCTATTATCACCCGAAATATGAGGATATCATTGTATGTAGTCCTACCCTGCACTTCTGCAAGAGGATGTTTTTAGGGTTCGATTTTGTGATCTTCTGATCACATGATAGTAACTTTATCAATTATACCAAAACTCTTATAAAAAAATAATTTATCAAACTAGGCTTTATCAAGCAATTTAGCAATTTATCAGATATTAAAAGAAATTATTTTCAAAGTGCTTTACGAAGATTGGAGAACAAGATCATAATGTGATAATCTTCTTTTTATCAAACTAAATTTTTCAATAATTAATAAATAATTTTAATTATGATATTATTAACATATCTTATTAATACTCCATTCGTTTGAATTATCGTGAACCTATTTTCTTTTTAGTCTGTGCAAAAAAGAACGATCCTTTTTATATTCGTAAACAGCAACAACGGTGATCCAGTAAAATTAAGCAATTTAAATTTATGCTATAGACACATAAATTATATGTCTAATTAAACTCCATATTTATTTTGTATTCAGTCAAACCCAATGGAAGAGTATTTAAGATCATTTCTAATTCCCAATTTAAACACCTACCGAAAAACACCATGTTCACCCTCCAAATCCACACCGTCGACTTTCCACAACCTCTTCCGACCACCGTCGCCACCACTTCCTCCGCCGCACACAGCCCAAACCCTAACACTAACCTCAGCAGCCTAAGCCTATCAGAACTTAGAGGGATCGCCCATCTGTTCCGCCACCTTCCCTCTGCCACCACTATCGCTAACCCAATTGCCCGCACCACCACCGTTTTCATTGTTGCTGTCCCAAATTACCTCTCCCCTGATGATTTCCTCCTTTTTTGTGGGACCCATATTGCTGACTTCTCTCATGTCCTCTTCCTCAAGTATGTTTGATAATTTCTTCTATTTAGAAATAATTTAATTTTAACTTACAATGTTTAATAGCTATACAAATATATATGGTTTGTGTTGATTGTTTATTATTGGTTCATTTCAGGAATGATGGAATAGAACATAGTTACAGTGTGTTGATCAATCTTGTTAATCAATTGGCTGCTGATGGGTTTTACTGTAGCTTCAATGGCAAAAGGTTTAGGCCTACTGAGGTATCTACTGCTGCTCTTGTTGTTATTATTAGTATAAGTTGTCATTACTATAGTTTTTACCATTTATTGCTGGCACTACTGCTGCTACTATACTACTATTATGTTTATCATTATGACTATTTTTTTGGGGGTTTTGTGCAATTTCTCAGGCTGAGATTTGCCATGTTTACTTTATTCAATCAGTGGAATATGCAGAGTCAGCACATATTGCTAGTACGCCTCCTGCTGGTTATACTGAATTGCCAACGTGTCCAGTGTGCCTTGGTGAGTCACTTGGGTTTTCTAAATTTTTGTATAATTGAAAATGTACAACAACTATGTCTCAATACCAAACTTCAAAATCCATTGTATTTGCATTTGAGCTTGTTTCGTTTAACTATCTTACAACTTGTCTTTTCGGACAAATTAAGGATTCTGTAGATCTAGAGAGTAAATCTCTTGCATATCCCTATAATATTGTCATGCAATCTCTAACCAAACTTTAAGGACTTCTATCAAACACGAGACCTAATATAAGTGTGCCAATAATGGACTAACCTTAGTTCCAACTAGTTGGTATTGCTGTGGATATCCTTGTGTTCTGTTTATCGTTATGTCCACATGGATTCCAAGACATTGTAAATCTTTTAAAATATCTTTTCTCGGTGAGATTTTAGGTTTAACACCTTAACTCATCATAATGCCGCACCTATGGGCTGCAGGGTTGGTGCATTTGGATGGCCCACAAAACATTTGCCCCTTAAGCTTTTAGGACCACATATTTCAAAAGTCTTTTTTTCCCCTAAAACTTTGTGACAACTCAAACTACATCATCTATTGAAACAGAGTGAGTATGACGCTACATCTATTTTAACCTCCGCATTCATATCTATGGTCTTTCTAATTATAAGTTGGAAACTTTTTTGTATCTTTTTTCTATGTTATATGGATAACTAATGCAATTCATGTTGAAAATTTCAGAAAGGTTGGACCAAGATACAAGCGGAATACAGAGTACACTATGTGATCATTCATTTCAGTGCTCTTGTGTCTCAAAGTGGACCTATTTGGCATGCCAAGTTAGTATGCTCGTCTAATTGCTCCCCATTACTTTCATTTACAGTGATGAGATCCAAGTGGTTAGATCAAATATTAAGAAAAATCCTATATATGTGTTGTCTTCCATAGTAGATTTCGTACTGCTTAGTTTCATCTACGCACTTCAGTTGATGAGTTAGTGCTTATGTGCACCTTCAGTTATAATGTCTACAGATTATCCTTAACCAACGAAAAACTCTCTTACATGCTTGAATTTATACTTCTAATTCTTTCTTTTTTCTCCATTTGTGTTAGTAAAATAACCGTCTTGCAAAATTTGTCTGTATCAATGTGTTCACTCACAATGTTTTCATGTGTATTGTAGGTCTGCCGACTTTGTCAGCAGCAAGATGAGAGACCTACCTGTTCAGAGTGTGGAACGTTGAAGAATCTTTGCGTTTGTCTGATTTGTGGTTTTGTAGGGTGTGGAAGGTATTGAACGCATTTCCCCCCCTTTTAAACTCCCTACTTGTAAACTCCATAAGTTGCTATTGACTTGATGTAGTTTAATATCTCTAACCTGTCGTTCTATTACCTGTTTTTGTCCCAGGTATGAGAAAAGGCATGCTATAAAACATTGGAGTGATGTAGCGCATCACTATTCACTTGAATTGGAAACCCAACAAATCTGGGACTATGTAGGCGACAAGTATGTCCACCGCTTGAATCAATCGAAAGGTGATGGAAAGTTGGTTACTGTGAATTCGCGTTGTACAGCAGTTGATGGAGAATGTACAACTTGTGGCTATGATGAGGATTCAAGTTTTAGTGGTGCTCTTTTCACCAGCAAAGTTGATTCGGTAATTTTTTTTTCTCTTATATCATTCTCGGTTAGCAATGATTTTTCTTCAGAATCAATTGAAATTCAAAGTTCCTCCATGTCCTCTCTCGTTTGGTGTTACTTTGTTAATATCTGCTTATCTCGAAACCAATTAATTTTATTCTACCTAAATGTAGATTGTTGACGAGTACAACAATCTTCTTGCTAGTCAGCTGGAGGCTCAAAGACAAGTAAGCAAAATTTGAACCTACTTTCATTTTGTTGATCAGCACTTGCATTATTTTAATCTAAGAAGAAGTGATACCTTGACCTGCCATAACATTTATTCAGTTTAGCAGTTTTCGAGATGAATGCATCGTAACAGGAACTCAAGCTAGTTAGAGAGCAAAAAGTCCTTTTCAGTTAATTAACAGTGTCCGGAGAAATAAGAAAGTTAATTAACAGTTTGACTTATGTTTCTCTCAGCATTATGAATCTCTACTAGCGGAGGCAAAAAGTGGAAAGGAGAGTTCAATATCCAGGGCGGTGGAGAAGGCAGTTTTCTCTAAGATGAATGACATGCAAGCTAAGATAGAAATGTATACAGAGGAGACGAAGTCTGTTGCAGAGGTATGGACCGATCAAGAAAAAGTTTATTTTTATAAATTTCTTGGATCTTTTTGTACCTTATTTCACCTTTAGATAAACTAAATAACTGATGGAATAGTTACTCTATGTTTTTAGAGGAATCAAGTGCTTCTGAAAAACCAACAGCTTTTGCAGACCAAGTGTAAAGAAACTGAAGAAAGGTACATTTATATGTTTGGCTTATGTTATCATCTCAGTCATCAATAAAAATTGCTGGAGCACTGATTTAGTTTGATATTAGTCAATTTGGTGTACCAATGTGTTGGCCGAATTAACTTGTATGCGTCTTTTGTTTCACTTCCATGTCATTACGCACGAAACGTGATGCATAGTGACTTGGCTAGAGAGATATGTGTGGTGTCTTAAACTCTTAATGCTTATTCTTGACGTGGCTTAGTTTTCTCGTTGGATCTTACTTTGCTCCGTGACTAAAGTGTACTCAACTTTCCATGTTTAGGGAAAAGTTATCGCTCAAGTCGAAGGACGAGAAAATACTGGATCTCAAGGAACAGGTACTTCCGATGTATTCCATTGGTGTCGCCTTCTTGTTCAACCTACTTTTGTTCTTAACCATTTATTGTAGCTATGTAAAATTTTCTTGACTTTTGTAGATACGGGACTTGAAAGTTTATGTTGAAGCTCAGAGAAAACTTTCAAACATGGGAATTTCAGATGGGAAGGGAGGGTCAGTTCTCTCTGTAGAATCCAACCAATCTTCCAGCAATTCTCGAAGGCGATCAAAGCTAGGTCGAAGAAGGAACTAGTAGCGATGGATCATCCTCCGCACCTGTATTATATGTGTTTGAGCAATGTAGATGGCAGAGTAATTCAGTTTTGGTGAAGAAAAAAAAGGTTGATACCTGTAAATTCATGAAGTTGGCCAGTGTAATGAATTCTTCCAGCCAAGTTCTGGAAAGAGGAGGTCCCAAAAAGTGAATTATATGTTTATTTCATTGCAAGTATGCTTTGGAAATTGGGAACTATAGGCACTGATTTGTGGGGAAAAATTAGAAATAGCTTGATTATAGGGGTGTTCAAACCGAACCGGAAAAACGCACTAAACCGATTAAAAAACCCGACTAGGTTTGGTATGACTTGATTTGGTATTGAATTAAAAAACCCGAACCAAACCGACATATAAGTATATAAATTTTATTTATATTTTTAAGAATTTATAGTGATTTTTCTTTAGAAAATGTAGAAATATTTGGGATCCTCTCATGTATTAACCTTGAAAGCGTAAATTGACTGACGAAAAATTATTATTAGACAACTAAGAAAATAACTATCATGTGTTACTAAAAAATTAGAATATTTTAATAGATCATATGTTTGTCAATTTTTTCCATATTTACTAAACATATATTCACTTATCAAAGTTTTATAATTTTAACAAAGTAAGATTGAAATAATATTCATGTAACAAGAAAACCCGAAAAACCCGACAATATCAGACCAATCCAAACCGATATAGTTGGTTTGGTTTGATTTTGATAAAAACCGAACCAACCCGGTCCATGTACACCCCTATGATTTACAACGGCTAAATGAAAATTAGCCACAGTTTCAAAAGTAATTGAAATTTAAACGCTTTTTCATGTAAAAAAAATAAAATCTGAATAAAAAAAACACTATTAAAAAGTCGGAAAAATTTCAACATAACATGTTAGAGTTTGATTTTTTTACATATGAGATTCCAATATAATGTGTTGGAGTTCCAACATAATATGCTGGAAGTCCATACGCAGGTGCTCCATGATTAAGCATATTATATCGGAACTTTCTGTGTTGCAGTTAGGGTATTTTTGTTCAGATTTTGTCTCCGCATACAATAGTGGTTATTTTACGATGATTTTGCAAATGCTGATTATTTTTCGATTACCAGTCTGAAAATTGGCTAACACATGCTATTTTCACCTGATTTATACTATCTCTAGGATATACGGGCTCCCTGTTCATTGAAAAACAATTTCGTTAAACTCTTCTGCAAATTTTTTAAGCAAACATCAACAAATGAGAAATGATGTTATCTGTGGAAATTCAAGGGTAGACAACAATTGATTTTCCCACCTTAATTAAACTTTTTCATGATTTAATTTTTGAAATTTCCCAATCTCAATATTCTTTTATCTATAATACCCAATTCATTAACTCGTTGATTTCGATCTATCTGTTGGAAGTTTATTTTTCTCAACTGGGTTTTGCTTAACTTAATGGATATGGATGGCTTTGTTTGAATTTTGAAGTTTTACTAAAATGGGTAACTTCACTGGCCAATTCCTGGAATAGTAATTTTTTCGATTTTCCACAGTCTACCCACATTGGTAAAAATTGCATAGGGCGCCCTATTTGGTCGTCCTCGTTTAACATATACCTATTTTTTTTAAAATTTTTAACTTGTACCCACTTGTTAAACAACTTCAGCCCCTTTCTCCTCCTCCTTCTCCTAGTGATCTCCATATCTCTCCGAGACTTAACATTAATGTAACAATATATCTCCTTCTATGGCTTCACTCAATTACTCAGAAGTCATCTTACTATACATAAGGACCATTTATATTGAGAAATATATACGAAGGACTAAAAATAACCCCATCCTTAAAACTTAAGGACTATTTGGACGATCTTGTTTATTCAGCTACTTGCATCTAATGTAATGGCGAAGCAAATAACCCAAAGGGCAGGGTGACGTTACGATTCCAAATCATGGCTTCAGGCGACTGCTCCAAAGACGAGGGCTTCAGTAATGGTTTTAAAATAGAAACTTCAGCAGTACATACTCAAGGGTTTTAAAAACTTTAGCTCTAGAGCTGAAGTTCGCTAGTTACAAACAAAAACTTAAGCTCTAGAGCTGAAGTTCGACAGTTACAAAACAAAAACTTCAGCCTTGTATGCTGAAGTTATGCAAAAAAGCGGGTACGCTTGCAATTTTATTTTTGCAAAGCAGACACAAGTTAAAACGTGACACAAAAAGCGGGTATAGATGCAAATGNTATGTGAAACAAATACACGAAAAGAGACTTGTAGATAGAAATGGCGTGAGATAGCCACTTTTTAATATGGTATTTAGTTTTTGTCCAGTATTTTTAATGCTGAGCAAAAATAGCCACTACTCTATTAAAATTAATACGAAAAGACATTTTCACCCTTTCTTCATGTGTGCTGTGTAAATATTAAGGACATGGTGTCCTTAACATTTACATTGCATACATGAAATTAAGGACGCCATGTCCTTAACATTTACACTGCACATATGAAGCTAAGGACATGATGTCCTAAAGTTTAACAAGGAAAGGTGCAAATACTGGACACTTTGTCCTTAATATTTACACAACATTCATGAAGTTAAGGATATCATGTCTTTAATATTTACACAACACTCATAAAGTTAAGGACACTATGTCCTTAAAATTTACACTGCACACATGAAGTTAAGGAAACCATGTCTTTAACATTTACACTGCACATATGAAGTTAAGGACATGAGGTCCTAAAGTTTAACAACAAAAGGTGCAAATACAAGTTAAGGACATAGTGTCATTAATATTTATACTGCACACATGAAGTTAAGGACGTTGTGTCCTTAACATTTATACTGCACATATGAAGTTAAGGACATGATGTCCTAAAGTTTAAGAATGGAATGTGCAAATAGAGGACACTTTGTCCTTAATATTTACACAACATTCATGAAGTTAAGGACACCATGTGCTTAATATTTACATAACACCCATGTCTAGCACAGGGGTATTTTCGTTCGGCCAGGTAAAAATTTATTAAGCACTGGCTAAAGAGTAAATACATTTTAAACAGTGGCTAAAGAGTAAAGACATCTCTAATTAGTGGTTAGCTGTGCACTTCCCCCGACTTGTAGCATGCTTGGCCAAGTTTCTAAAATCAACAACTTATTTGAGAAATACTTTTTCAAAAAATGCTTTTAAAAAAATACTTTTAATAAGAAATAGTTTGTGTTTGACAAATTAATTTAGAAAGCACTTTTGAGTAGAGGTAAGCTATCGGAAACAACCATCAGGATAGAGGTAAGGTCTGCGTACAAACTACCCTCCCCAGACCCCACTTGTGGGACTATATTGGGTCGTTGTTGTTGTTGTTGTTGTAGTTGTTGTACTTTTGAGTAATTAGTATTTGGTCAAACTTTTTAAAAAGTGTTTGTAAATGTATTTTTCTAGAAAGAACTTTTTGAAATAAAACAATAAAAGTAGAAGAACAATATTGCAGAGAAAGAGAGAGAGGAAATTCTTATTGAATTTTGGGATGAGTTACAATGGAATAGAACCTCTATTCATAGGGAGAGGGTGACTTAGCCCACCAAGTAATAAACCCTAAAATCTCTCTTAATATAGATATTCACCATAAATAAAATTCTATTTATAACATTCCCCCCTTGAATGTCTATTCAACAGATAATATGTCTCGTTAAAACCTTAATTAAAATAAAACCCAGTGGGAAAAAGAATTTCTAGTAAAGAAAAAAGAGTACACATATCTAACAATACGCCTTTTGATTGCCTTATTAAAAATCTTGTAAGGAAAACCCAGTGGGACAAAACCTTGTAAGGAAAAAAGAGTGCACCGCGCATTAACTCCTCTTGATGAGAGCATCAATTCACATCCTTGAGCCTTCACATCTCAATCTTGTGCACCATCTTCAAAACATCATTGGTAGAGATTTGATAAACAAATCAGCCATTTTATCACTTGAATGAATATGTTTTACCTTGACATCATCATTCCTGATAGATTTGTAATGTTTTCATAAAATGCCGTGGAATAGCCTTTTCAATATCTTCATAGAGATTTTCTCTATCATATTATCATGCTTATAGTTATAGCAAGATACATATGTACACAAATTGCACTTAGGATGTAGTACTTTATTATCATGAATTCTATATGCATTAAGCAATTTAAATCCTTTGGGGATCGTCATATAAGTATAGTCAAATAAGTCATTTAAATAGATTTTAGATGCATATCAACTTTTCATGTCATGCTAGACATATAAGATAAATAAAAGTGATTGCACACACCGTTGACTTTATTCTTTCAAGTGTTTGAATTGCAGGTCCAAAATCACATGCCTTTCATATGAAACCAATTCTACTTGAATTGTTTCTCTAGACTTAAGATCCTCATATATACTTAGCGCTATCATATATGTCGTCGACAAACATTTTATATCGGTTCCAACCTCCTTATTTTTCATAAAGACATAACATAGAGATCTCTTCATTCATATATTCAGGTACCTGAATCTCTCATGAGACTTTATAAAGTGTTATGTCATGTGATCTCCTAGATCACTTGCCTCCTTATTATGATTATTTGGTCATCTTTTTTATCAAGTATTTTATTTGAAACCGATTTGTCTATACGCTTTTAGCGTACCATAGACTTTATCCTTCTAGGATTTATTCTAATATGAACATTACAGTGAGAATATAGTTATTTTCTTTGGGTTAGCAAATGCGTCTAGCACGCTTTGCAATATATTGCAAATGAATTATCTTTTTATGAACTTCAAGTTCATATTACCTTTTCGAGGATCGAGATGTATATATAATAATTCACTCCATGTAACTTTTTCTCAATTGTTTATCATGTCTCTCCCTCATGTTAGAAAAACTAACTTGTTTCCTCAACTTTGAGAACCCATCTTTATGTGTTATGGTATTAATTAAAATATACACTGCACATCAATAATAATAAGATGGAATTATTTGGTTCCTGACCCTGAACCACTTGTGAGGGGAGAAGATAGAATTATCAGCTCAGTTAGTTAGAGCTTCGTGCTAATAACATGAAATAAAACAATAAAAGTAGAAGAACAATAATAATAAGATGGAATTATTTGGTTCCTGACCCTGAACCACTTGTGAGGGGAGAAGATAGAATTATCAGCTCAGTTAGTTAGAGCTTCGTGCTAATAACATGAAATAAAACAATAAAAGTAGAAGAACAA